AGGTGCTCCACATACCTTGGTGCTCCACATACCTAGGTGCTCCACATTCTCATTTTACAGATGGGAGGACACACGCTTAGGGAGGATGGAGACACCTGTCCATCAGGCTTTGGATCTGTACCAACTTGACTTAGAAGCCTTTACAAGAAGGGAGGTCTCTGTCTGAGTGGACATCTGCCACCTTCCTTCGCCTGTCACTAATGCTGACCGCGCAAGCGCCTTGTGGACCGGCACCGTCTCGGAGGGCCTCCAACCTTGTGCCACCTTAGGCGGTGGGTTTGAGCTGAGGTGGTGGCGGCGGCAGACAGATTCATCGGTAACAGGCAGGGGTAGGGTGTGATGTATTTGAAAACATTGGGCGGAGTGTAATTATGGTGATAGCGGTAACTGGTAACTCATAGCCGGCGTCCCCGTAGGCCGAGGCTGATGATGAAGCTCTTCTTTGCTTCATTTGTTTTCGGTAAGTAATTTGCTTTCTCCAAGGGAGCCACCCGCGAGGAGGGAACTCTGACTCCACACCCGGCATTTTCTCTGGAGCAGTTTTAAAGGCCGCAGGTCCGTGGGTGAGGGAGGCTTTCCACCAGAAAGATGGACGCCTTGGGTTCAGGTTCGGCACTGCTTGGAGTGTCCAAAGACGCCTGTGCTTTTAGGGTGAGACTAAAAATCCTCCAGGGGAGGGCTTCCAAGATGAATTCCCTCACCAGCGCGTGCTTTTCTCTATCTCCATTCGGGTCTGCTTCTGTTCCCTGATGGTGCTGTGGTCCCGCCTAACCACGACGGCATATGGCTGCCCGCTTACTCCTCCCCCTCCCCCAACGCTGTACGTCCGTTACCTTTGACAACTAGGCCTTTGCCCCGACTTTATCCCAAAGAAAGAACAAACTGATTCTCATGACCATCCTTCCCTGACTGGATCTGTACCCCCAACCCCACCCTGATGCTTTTTTGAGCCAGGGTCTTGCTACGTAGCCCAGGCTAGCCTCAAACTCAAGATCTTCCCGCCTCATCTCCCGAGTAATGAGATTATATGGATACGCTACCACGTTTATCCTGTGTTTATATTTCTCTGACGTTTTCTGAAGTGCTGGGGATGCAGCCCGAGGCTTTGCACACCCTCGCCAAGCGCTCTACCCCTGAACTGTCTGTAGCTCAAGACTCCCATTGCTTTGTTCCTCCTTCATTTAATTTTGACAACTCCACGCCTGTATACAATGTGTCTTGATCATATCCTTTCCAATCCCCTCCTCTCGGGCCTGTAACTTTAAAACTATGCTCTCCCCTTTGCCCAGGAGCTCGGTGGCCTTTGCTCTGGCCCCTCCCTGCCTAGTTCTGTGATTGGTGGCCGCCAACTTCACCAAGCCGCTGTTACCAACCGGGCTTCTATTTCTACCTACCTGTGCTCCATGAAACGAAAGACACTCAGACAGTTTTCTTACTTTAGAATTTGCCTACTAGCACAGTTGCTGGGCGCAGAATCTCCTGCCTTAAACTTACCAGCTAGCCTGTATCTACTAGCTTCTGCTGACCTCCTTGGCTATCCGCCAGTGTCGGAGTCCAACGGTGCTAGCTTCCCCAAGGTCTTACATGACAGCTGTGTGCTTCTCATTCCAAAGCCTGTCCAAAATGCGCTCTCTGCCCCCCCCCCCACTTCTTTCCCTGTATCTCCTTTTCCTCCTGGGACCCGGAAGTCCCACCCGTCCCTTCCACCCAGCAATTGGCTTCCTGGCCTCCTTTATTGACCAAATCAAGAACCAATTAGGGAATCAGACCTTACTATCAGTGCTGCCCCCTGCACTCCACCCTAGACACCCCTCAATATGTCTCTTCTAACCTCTGTGTTCTCTCCCTCCCACGCCCCCTTTCATAACCCACTGAATCCCTGACGCCACATTGGAACGTTGACTGATCTCCATGTCTGGCTCTTGCTCAGATCTTATGCGTGTTGCCATGACAGCACTAGGTTTCAGAGTGTAGCAGCCGTGTAGTAGCCACGAGGCAGCAGTTCGAGGCGCCCCGCCACACCCTCCAGGTCTTACATTCTCTCTGCCCAGTCTTTTGGCATGTTCCGCGAGCCTTTGCCGGGCATCAGTAGCGCGTCTAGCACCCAACAGCCGTTTGTCCTCCGGTTCTGAGTCTCTGGATTGACTACTGCCCTCTGTGGAAGAAGCTTCTCTGGCCGACATCGAAAGCAGCGCTGTTTTATGTAAACACCCCCCCCAGCACTGTTTTATGTAAAAACCCCTAATTTTTTTTTTAATACTTAGGTCTTCAGGCTCTCATTGAGTGCATAGTTTACACGTATTCATGAGGAAGGTGGGTGACAACAGGACCCCAGGCAGGCAGAGTGGCAATATGTCAAGGTGGCTGCTTTTGGAAGTTAGAATCATCTAGATGTAAGCAGTCTGAGTCACCTGCTGCGTGCCTGTTGGCTTTAGGCTCTCTGATCCCTGTCCTTTTATTTGTGACGTAAAGAAAGTAGCTCCCACCTCGAGGGGTTGTTGCAAGAATCCAGGCCAGTTGCACGAGCGCATGCACAGGCACACACACACACACACACACACACACACACACACACACACAAAGTACACAGCTCAGGGATTGGCTTGATAGTTGGTAACTGCTATCGTGGCAGCCATCGCTCTTTGACTGACACCCTTTAGCTGCCCGAGGAATTAAGATGACATACCTGGGGGCTTTCCTCTGTATCTCGTTCTCCACCAACATGGTTCTTCGGGCGTCTTCCTGGACCATCTCCAGCAGCTTCTGCAAGTCTGATGGGAACAGGAAAGGTTACCCTTGACCTGGAGACAGGATGGTACATGGATCTCATGCCTGGCCTGGGGATGCCTCTGCCTGTGGGAACCAGGGGCTCTGTCAGGGATCCTACCTGCTGCTAGAAGGGGCAGTTCCTAGGGTCTGGCAGGTTACCTATCTATCTTAGCGTTTTTATTCCTACACAAACCATCATGACCAAGAAAAAAGTTGGGAAGGAAAGGGTTTATTCAGCTTACACTTCCACATTGCTGTTCATCACCAAAGAAAGTCAAGACAGGGATTCAAGCATGGCAGGAACCTGGAGGCAGGAGCTGATGCAGAGGCTTCGGTGGGGTGCTGCTTACTGGCTTGCTCCCCATGGCTTGCTCAGCCTGCTTTCTTATAGAACCCAGGACCACCAGCCCAGGGATGGCTCCGCCCACAATATCCTCCCCCATCAATCACTAACTGAGAAAATCCCTTACAGCTGGACCTCATGGAGGCATTTTGTCAAGGGAGGCTCCTTTCTCTGTGATAACTCCAGCTGTGTCCAGTTGACACACAAAACCAGCCAGGACACTACCCGACCACCACTCCTTGACTTAAACCCGCCCTATGACTTTCTATTCTTTTCCCGGCAACAGGGCTCCACCTGACTGAACAAGCCTTGAAAGGTCTTTTAAGACGGATTATTTTTTGCACCTGGTGTCTACCTGTTCCTGTGTGTACATGTATGTGGACATAACACGTGTGTACATACGTGAGATCGGAGGTCAAAATTGAGTGTGTTTGATCTCTACCTCAGTTGAGCCGAGGGTCCGTTTCTGAAGCTGGAGCTCACTGACTGAGGAGACTGGCTGGCCAGCAAGTCTTTGTCCTGTGTTTCCCTGCTGGGCACTGAGGTTGCTGGCAGGCACCACCACGCCTGGTTTTTTATGTGGGTGAGGAGATTGAACTCAGGCTCTCATGCTGGCATGGCAAGCAGTTCACCGACTGAGCCATCTTTCTGCCCCTCCTAAGGATCTTACACTGTGCTCCAACCAGAGAAAGCTGTCTCAGGTTCTGACACGAAATGTTGTTTGGGGAACTTGGACCGATTATTTTCCAAACTGGTGATTTGCGGCCTGAATCCAGACCAAAATTGCACTTTGCGTGATTTGAGCACAGCCTTGGAAACCCAAGCTTTCGCATAAACATCCAGACCCCCCTAATTCCTTCTGAAAGGATCTAAGACATGACCGCGCTGTCCTCGTTTCTGCCACACACTGACTGGGTTTCAGACAGGCTTGTGATTTCTAGCTCACACCACCGTGTCAGCTGACCCTCATCATGGTTCCCTGTGTTGGAGGTTTGGTTTCCGGTTTCCGGTTCCCGGCGCTTTGGGAATGCTGCCACGGGTTTTCAGAGGGCTAACTTCACCAGTGTCGAGTCCATTCTGGATGAGCTGCCAGAAGACGGGGTGCAGCCGGAGGAAATGGGGTTATGGGACCATATGTCTTAGAGGGCTTGTTCTAGCCTCTTTCTTTCCGCTCACGGGGGCCCCTTGCGACCTTGAGGTGGGAGCTCCTCGTGATGCTTTCCCACACCACGCTCCCGGAAGTGCTGATGCCGGTGAAATCCCTGCAGCTCAACAAATCCCCCCTCTTTCCAGAAGTTTCCTGAGGTGTCTTAGCAATAAAGAATGATGGAAGCAACTTTGACTTTCGTACTTAATGTGTTCTGTTCCATATACTTTGCGAACACTTTTTGATGCCTGGCTCCCGCGAGTTGGATCTTGTCTCTCAAAAGTTAGGCTGAATTCCTAATCTCCAGGGCTCCAGAATGTGATGTTGATCGGGAGCAGTTACGGTAATTGTGATCCGTAAGGATGAGGTCACGCTGGAGGGTAGCGTGGTAGGCTCTCGTGCTAGTGTGACTGGTGTCCTTGGAGGAGAAGGAGGGGACACATCAGGGTGACCATGGCCGTGTGGTGCCAGATACAGAGGTGAGTGGCATGTCTATGAGCAGAGGGATGTCAGCCTTCCTAGCATCTGCCAGCTAGAGAAGGCTAGCAAAAGGAAGGGCGAGCACCTCTTCATTGAACCCATGGTTTTGGAAGCCAGGTCCCCACAACTTGGAGGTAATAAATTATTGTTGTGTTAAGCCTCACATACTGGCGTCCCTAGGAAGTCACAGGCACTCTAAAAATTTAGAAAATATGATGCAGGGTGAGCTGTGTGTTTCACAAAAGACGAGGGCGGGGTGTAAGTGAGCAGCGGTGTTTTACAGGGTCACACATTTGGTTGGTAACAGACCACCGGGAAATACCTTGTCGGGAAGCATGTAGCTGTCCAAGGTGCTGAACCATCGTGTGGTTGGGGACAGTACAGGGGAGAGAGGGAGAGAGAGGGAGGGGGAGGGGGGGGGGGAGAGGGGAGAGCGAGCGGGCGGGAGGGAGGGAGGGGGCCCGCCTTGGCACATGGGGAGGAGAAAACACAGCTGGGCAGAGCCACTGACAGAAGGGGAGACTTCTGAAGTAGTTTTCAAATAATTTGGGGAAGCAAAAAGGAGACAAGGAGAAATTAATGAAATGTGAGCATTTGAAGGGAGAATTGTAAGACTGTGCTCTTGATTTTGCCTCAGAACAGACATATTCCATGGCTGGCTTCATTGATGTACATCTATCGATATGCATATATATCATATATAAAAGATATATCAGTGTGTATTATCAATATATGTTAATATATATTAACATACACATATGTATTTACTTATATTTGCTTTATGGTCCCCTTTGAAGGGCGTGCAGCAGATGGTATCAGACACCTCTCTCCTCACAGCCCCAGGCCTAGCAGGAGGAATGAGTTGGGCTTTGGGGGAGGGGTCAGTCAGGGGAGAGGTCGCAACCCTCTGCCCCCGGGGGTCTGCACTACCTAAGGGTCATTATGCAGCTGCTCTGGGTGGGAGTCAGGAATTCAGCATCAATGTGAACGGGTTTTCAAAGGCGAGGAGAGGCTGGGGAACTAATCTGGCTCTGTCAAGGCTGTGGCAAAGGAGGTGGGGCTGAAGATGTAAATAGGAGAGAGGGGAGGGGCTGAAGGAGAGAGCCCGCCCCCAGAGACAGACCCTGGTGGAAACCTTCCTTAGCAGTGGCTTCACATCTAGTGTGTACCAGGCTGAAGGCTTGGAACAACACACCCAGGCCTGCATGAGTCTGATCGCCCTTCATCTCCAAAGCTCTTTAATCTTGGGAACTTTTATTGGGTTTGTTTTTGTTGTTTTTCATCTGGAAGGGGAATTTTTTTTCCAGTTCATTTTCCCTGCATCCTTTGCAGTTAGGTGTCGTCCTATGACTGAGAGATCTAGGCAATGAGGTTTTAATATTCTCTCTCCTCTTCCTCCCTCCCCACCTCCTCTCTTCCTCCTCCCTGTGTGTATGTGTGTGGAGGTCCGAGGGAAATCTTGGAGTCCCCATCTTCTTCCTCAGGACCCTTCTCAGGCAGTCAGGCTTGGTAACAACTACCTTTCACTGCTCGGCCTCTTTACCTCCTTGAGGTTTTGGAAGTGCGGTGTAGAGGGGCAGAGAAGGTTGCTTACCACCTCTGGGTGTGGGTGCTTTTATACCCTGTCTGCTGCCTTCTGCTTCAAACCTGGGACATGGGTATGGTAGTTGGAGCTCTGGTGGCTACTCTGGGCCATGAGGTGATATTGGGGTTGGCCAACTGAAAAAAAAAAGTGGAGTAAAGCAGATCTGTGGTGACACTTATCTGTGGTGACACTTTTGAGCGTCATTTTTATCCACCCTTGCTTGCTTAGCCTTCTTTAATCTGTAGGAAGGTGTAAACTTTGATCTTTTTAAAGTCACTGTTTCCCCTCCACCCCAGGCCTCTGTGTCAACCAAAAGAAGTGCCTCTTTGACGCCAGGAGATAAAAACAGTAAACTAAAAGTATGTCTTCAATAAGGCCTGCTACAAAGTATCAAGACAGAGGACCTGGTTGGGTTGGGTCAGGCTTCACAGGGAAAAGATGCACTGGAATTGGGGCTTGAAGATTAAGAGAGTATCTACCAGCTTCAGGTGTGTGTGTGTGTGTGTGTGTGTGTGTGTGTGTGTGTGTGTGTGTGTTGGGGGGGCGACAAAGGAAGTGACGTAGGATGATGCTCTTCCTGAACAGAAGGTCAGCTGGTGAGGCTGGGCTGCTCAGGTGAGCCAGCAGATGCCAGTTATTAGCATCCCAAATAAGGTGTCTTGGAGGCCACGGGCATGACTGAAAGACGCTCAGCTTGGGGTGGAGGCCAGGAGGTCACTGTGTCCGGTATCTAACTCTCTGGATCAACGTGGAGACAAATCAGCGAGTAGGGGCAGGGCAAGCAGCTGAGTCTGTTAGAAACTGTCAAGCCTCGATCCCCCTCCCCAGCCTCATCTCTTCAGGTCTCAGCTCAGTGGTCGGAGGCGAGAAAGGCTTCTGTGGGCCAACCTTGCTTGAGTTGCAGCCGCTCCAAGCTGGCGAGAAGACCAAGCTCTCTGGATCAACACTACCACTGTCCTCTGATTACTGGAGATCTCAGTCATCTTGTGCCTCATGGCTTCCTTGTTTTCCCGCCTGAGTTTTCCTTCTTAAATGTGTGATCGCCTCATTCCTCTTATCATGGGTGCTCAGTACACACTCACTGAGGGAGGAAGCTTCTAAAGTTCTGGAGAATCGATGTTTTGCTCCTTCTCTGCCTCTGCCCAGAGAGCAGCTTTGAGTGTTCCAAGTCTCCCTTGGGCCCCCATTGACTTGTCCTGACTCCTCCTTGGGCCCCCACTGACTTGTCCTGACTCCTCCTTGGGCCCCCATTGACTTGTCCTG